CCCTCTCTCTCTCTCTCTCTCTCTCTCTCTCTCTCTCTCTCTCTCTCTCTCTCTCTCTCTCTCTCTCTCGTTGGAGTCTCCCTCCTTCCGCCTCAGCCTTCCAAGTAGCCAGAACTACAGGCGTATGCTACCATGTTCAGCTAATTTTTTGATTTATAGTGGAGATGAGGTCTCGCCAAGTTGCCCAGGCTGCTCTCAAACCCACGGGCTCAGGCAATCCACTCACCTCAGCCTCCCAAGGCGCGGGATTACAGCCTGAGCCACCAGGCCCGGCTTGGTGCTATATTTTAACATGTTTCATTTGCGTATTCTGTCTCAAAAAACTCTTAGTTCATATTTCCTAAATAATGACTGCTTTAAGAAAGCTGTCTTTGTAAATACTCAGAGTATTTCAGTTAGTATAAAGGCCTTTTTCTGTGACTGGGAAGTAAACACATTCTTCAAGGTAGGCCGTTTCAAATGTGCTAGTATAGTAACACGACATTTAACAGTTTGTTTATTCATTCAACAATTGGTTGAGCATCACTATGAACTAATGATAAGCAGAAAAGATAAAGATAAGAGCTTGTATTCTTAGAGCTTTTATGTTGTAATGGGGCAGCGAGAGATTATAAACAATAACCAGATCCTGATAACAGGATGGAAAGAGAAAGGTATGCAATTAAAGAATAACATGGGAAATTAGTTTAGATAGGATAATGAGGGAAGGAAGGGTGAGACCTTAAGGATAAAAAAGGAGGTAGTTCTAACAAAATGAGAGACCACAGGCACAGAGCCCCTGAGGGATGACAGAGCTTGCTGTATTTTGGAAACAGAAACCATTTGTGACTAGAAGAGGGAGCAAGGAGAGGATGGGGGAGCCAAACACAGTGAGGCCTGGCAGGCCAAGGTGAAGAGTGTAGATTTTATGCTGAGTGCCTTAGTATATTTTGTTTTGCTTGCTTATTATGGAAAAACTTAAAGGCAGACCAGTTTAAGGTACCAACCCCCTTAGACCCATCACCAGCTTGAGCAACGGTTACTTTATGGTCATTCTTGTCTATTTGTCCAACCACTTCCTCTTCCAGGTTATTGTAAAGTAGATCCCAGTTTTGTAAAGTCTTTAGCCTAGAAATAGCATGATTTGATTTACATTCTAAAAAATTGTTAGGGGACACACAGAAGCAGAAGAAGCCATTTAGGTTTCTTCCGTGATCCGGAAGAAAAATAATCACAGCTTATGTTAGGAGCAGTAGCACTGGAGATAAAGGAAACTGATATGTAGGAGGAATCCTTGATTCATCATTTCTGTTGCCTTTTTCTCCTTATTAAATTTGGGAGTTTCTTGACGTGAAGAGTTTTGTTTTATGCATCTTTATTTTCTGTGTGGTAACCTGATTATTTAGTTATCTATCATCTTTTCCATTTTTTCTTAAGATGCAGTTGATAGTCATTTTATCTTGTGTTTTGGCTATGAAGATGACTCACTGACAGGAATGTAAAGCATAGATATATTTCAAGACCATTCATTGAGCAGTCTGTAAATACTTGAAGCATCAAAAAAGCAAAAGACTGTGTGCGTAGAAGTTGTATGACAATATCATGTGTTTCTGAAGAAGAGGTCTTTGATGATGTTGATATTTCTGTCTTAGGGTAAAAGACATGTTCAGTTTTGAAATTCCAGAGCATCAAGTTATTGCTACAGCATCAAGTGATGGTTTCATTAAAATGTGGAGGGTGAAGCAGGATAAGGTCAGTGTCTTAGCAAAACATAAATAAATTTTAGTGCAGTTCTTGTTCTCAGTATTACTCCCTGATTAGTGAGGGGGAATTTGTTTTAAGGGTTGTATGACATAGATTTTTAAGTCTACTCTAGGCATGATTGATATTAATGGCTTTAAAGTTAGGGTTTCCACAAAGTTGCCTTAGGGGTGGGCATTCATGAGTCTGAGTAGGCAGGATCCCAGAATTCTCTGCTCTTTTTAATGTAGTTATTTTTCATATATTGGGGCTCTTTGGAAGTTGTTAGGTAAAAATACTGCCAATACTGAAAACAATTTTGAAGCGCCTTAGCAATTATGGAACTAAGAATAATTTTGAAGCAGAGAATTAGAAAATTAAATTTCCTTCTATAGTCTTCTTGTCATCTCTCTTGATTTATTGATTTATTATTCTCCTCTCATAAACACATTTTGTGAATGTGGTTTGTTGAGTGTCTATCTTGGGCAGAGTTAAGTTTAACACTAGAAATGAACAAGATAATGGTTTCTTTCTTTAGAATTTTCAACTCTTGGGTACTTCTCATAAATTGGCTTTATGCTCAAGAAAATATAGTAAATTTTAAATTAAGGTAATTTGGTTATGGAAAATGACAAGTAATTAATTTTTCATTCTTCTCTTTTAGAAAGTTCCCCCATCTTTACTCTGTGAGGTAAACACCAATGCCAGGCTGACATGTCTTGGAGTATGGCTAGACAAAGTGCCAGACAGGAAAGCAAGCCTTCCTCCAGCTGCAGAGCCTGCTGGTAATTGAAGTTGATTGTTTTGAAAATTTGAATAAGCCGTTATCCTTTAAATTGTTGAAGTGAAGAAGTCAGATAGCTACTTTGTTGTCAGCCTGTGTTTATTTCATTCAAAGGGGGAAATGGTCTTTAAATTCACTGTCTTTTTTTGTTTTAGTAAGTAAAGAAGACCAGTCCAAAATCAGCAAAAAGGAATCTGGAGACTTAGTGCAGGAAGAAGAAAAACAGTCAAAACCTAACACAAAAAAACGTGGGTTAACTGGTGATAGTAATAAACAAACAAAAGGAAATAACCTGGTATCGACCAAGAAGAGGAAAATGGTATAGAATGTTGGAAAAGCAGAGAAAAAAGAAGAAAATATAAATGATGTCCTGAATCCCAGATACCATCTACAAGAACTCCTTTTAGATGGAATCATTATTTTCAAATATGCCTAAATAGTTTTTTCTGAGTAAAAGCAAGGAATTTCTTTTAGAGGAAAAAGTTAAAACCACTTTCAAGTGTATTTTTAAAAAATTTTAACAGTGGTGTCAGATGCAGTGGCACACACCTATAATCCCGCACTTTGAGAAGCAGAAGTGAGAAGATTGCCTGAGCCCGTGGATTCAAGACCAGCTTGGGCTATGTGGTGAGACCTCATCTCTACAATAAATCAAAAAATTAGCTGGACATGGTGGCACATGCCTGTAGTTCTAGCTACTTGGAAGTCTGAAGTGGAAGGATTGCCTGAGCATAGGGGGTTGAGTGTGCCACTGCCCTTCAGCCTGGTTGACAGTGAGACTTCAACTCAAAAAAGAAAAAAAAAGTGGTAAAATTACTTTTGGTAGACTGTTTTATAAATTATATATCGTGGTGATATATGTTAATGTATAATATGTAATTTTTACTTTGTGCAAAACAAAGATCTTTCTCAAAATATTAAAATAATATAAAGTCTTGAACACATTCTTTACCAGAGGAGTTGCTTTTCAAATTTTTCTCCTAAATGGGGGGAAGGATTTTAAAACTGCCATACTTGGGCTTCTTCAAATGGCAAATAGTAATTAATTTTGTTTATTTTAGTAACAAGGTATAAAAAGATTTTCATACCAGCAAGTATATTAAGACAAACTTAAAATGTATATGTATGAAACAAACATGCTTAAGTTCAGGACTGCGTACATAAGATTATAGAGAGATTGCCAAACTTCTTTAAGCTCTTCTTATAAGTGGTAGATGCACAAGATAATTCCAGGGCAGGAAAATGACATTTCTGATGCTTGTTTTATCCCATTCAGGGCATCAACAAACTTGACTTAGCTAATCTAACAAAGGTAGTCTTAAATTCAGCCTGTTGGTTACTATCTTTTCATCTCTTCCTAACTGGAAAAGTAGGTGGTGGTTTTTTTTTTTCCCCGTAGTTTGCTGGATGTTTTGAAAAGACACATTCATTTGGGGGCTTAAAGGTTTGAATTAGCTGGGCAGATATCAGATACCTGGGGCCACCAGGAGATCTCAGTTTGGCAAAATAAGATACCTGTCTACACACTGGCACTGGAATTGCCACTCCATAGGAGGAAGTCATCTAGGAGATGAACCAAGTTGCATGTCTAACATTTCCGTCTACCTATGTCAGTATGGATGTACCGTAGTAATCAGGAGAATAGCAGGATTGTTTCCAGATTTGGGATATTGTGAATTAAAACTGCTGTATACACCTGGGTATAGGTTTTTATGTGAACACTAGTCTTTGTTTCTCTGGGTTAAATGCCCAGGAATTCTAGAGTTTTTCATAATACCTTTATGGTTTTATATTTCTACAAGTAATGTTTGAATGGTTCAGTTTCTTTGCATCCTTTTCAGTATTTGATGTTATTTTTTTAAATTTTAGCCATTCTGATAAGTGTATATTGATAATTGTGGCTATAATTTACATTGCTCTAATAGCTAGGTGTTGAACATTTTTTGTATGCTTATTATTTTCATAAGTGGTGAACTGCCTCTTGTCCATGTTCAAATTAACATTGTTTTATTACTGTTTATTCTGAGACTTCTTTATGCAGTAGGTTCCTTACATGTGAACCTTCAAGTTGTGAACTTTCAAAGATACAAACACGCGTTTGCATGTCCAATCACATAAGTTCATATGTCTGCTGTACGTTGTTATGGGCATGTATCCTTTGCAAGTGGTTGAGCTTTTGTGTACTGTACAGTACTATATGAGTACAGTAGTACAGTAACTTTATTTCAAGCCCAGGATGTCCAGAAGCAAACATAAAAGCAGCAGTAATTGTGTTAGTTGGGTATCTAGGCTAACTTTGTTGGACTTAGGAACAAATTGAACTTACGGATGTGCTCTCAGAATAGAACTTGTTCATATGTAGGAGACTTACTGTGTATTTTAGAAACTTGACCTTTGTCAGATAAGTGGGGCTTGCAAATAGTCACTTGCTCCAGGATCACGTTGAAGACTGTCCTTCCTTCATTGAAATGCTTTTACACCTTTGTCAAAAATCACTTGGGGCCTGAGTACAGATTACTCATGTCTGTAATACTTTGAGCTGAGGTAGGAGAATCACTTGAGGCCAGAAGTTCAAGACCACCCTGTGCAACACAGTGAGACCCATCTCTGCAAAAATTTTAAAAATGAGCTAGGCATAGTGGTGCATGCCTGTAGTCCTTGCTACTTGGGAGCCTGAGGCAGTAGGATCACTTGAACCCAGGAGTTTGAGGCTGCAGTGAGCTCTTATTGAACACTGCACTCCAGCGTGGGCAACAGAGTAATACTCTGTCTCTTAAAAAAAAATTAATTGGGCATATTTGTATGTGTCTGTAACTCTATTGTGGTCTTTTTGTGTATGTATGTGTTTTGGAGTCTCACTCTTGCCCAGGCTGGAGTGCAGTGGCATGCTCACGGCCACCATAATCTTGACCTGCTGAGCTCAGGCAATCCTTCTGCCTCAGCCTTCCATGTAGCTGGAAATAAAGGCACATGCCACCACACCTGGCTAGTTTTTTGATGTAGAGATGAGAGCTCACCAAGTTGCCCAGGCTGGTCTCAAATCTGTGGTCTCAGGCAATCCTCTCACCTCAGCCTCCCAAAGTGTTGGAATTATAGGCATGATCCACCGCACCTGGCTCTATTATGTTCCATTGATCTTTATTGTTTTGCTAGTACCACACAGTCTTTATTTTTTTGAGTTGGAATCTCACTCTGTCACCCAGACTGGAAGGCAGTGGCACGCTCCCGGCCACTGCAGCCTTGACCTACTGGGGTCCGGTGATTCTTCCGCCTCAGCCTTCCAAGTAGCTGGAACTATAGGCATGCGCTACCATATCCAGCTAATTTTTTGATTTATTGTAGAGATGAGGTCTCGCCAAGTTGCCCAGGCGGGTCTCCAACCTGCGGGCTCAGGCAATCTACTCACCTCAGCCTCCCAAAGCGTGGGATTACAGGCTGAGCCACCGAGCCTGGCTCACACAGTCTTTATTACTGCAGCTCTAAAATAAGCCTTGAAATCAGGCAGAGTAATTTTTCCCACTTTATTCTTTTCTGAAATTGCTTTTACTAGTCTAGTTCCCCTGCCTTTCCATATAAGTTTTAGAATAATCTTGTCTGTGTCTACAAAAATGCCTTGTTGGGAGTTTGGTTTATAGTCATGTATCACTTAATGACAAGGATATGTTCTGTATAATGTGAGGTAATTTCATCATCTTGTGAATGTCATAGAGCGTACTTTCATAAATCTGGATGGTAGAGCCTACTATATACCTAGGCTATATGGTATACCCATTATAATCTTATGGGATAGCCATCATATATATGCCATCTATCATAAATAGAAATGTGACACATGAGTATATTTAGATTTTTAAATTTCTTTTATCAATGTATAGTTGTCAGCATACAGATTTTGCATATGTTAGACTTATATCTAAGTACTGCCTGTAAGGGGGCAATTTCTTTTCTTTTCTTTTTTTTTTGAGTCTAGTCTCACTCTTGCCAGGGCTCGAGTGCAGTGGCACTATCACAGCTCACTGCATCCTCAACCTTCTGGGCTCAGGCAACTCTTCCACTTCAGCATCCTGAGTAACTGAGTCTACAGGCATTAGCCACCACACCCAGCTAAATTTTTAAATTTTTTTCGCTATATTGCCTAACTCCTGGGCTCAAGCAATCCTCCCATCTCGGCCTCCCAAAGTGCTGGGATGACAAAGCATGAGCTACTGTGCGTGGCCTTAGAGGGGCAATTTCAAATGGCATTTTTAAATGCTGGTATCCATGTGTTCATTGCTAGTACAAAGAATACAGCTGATTTATGTTGATTTTGTATCCTGCTGAACTCACTTATTCTGAGTTTTTGTTGTGGGGTTTTTTGGGGGGGTTTTTTGAGTCGGAGTCTCACTCCATCACCCAGGCTGGAGTGCAGTGGCACACTCACAGTCATCCCAGCGTCGTCCTGCTGGACTCAAGGCTATCCTTCTGTCTCAGCCTTCCAAGTAGCCAGAACTACAGGTGTGTACTACTGTGCCTGGCTAATGTTTTGATTTATTGTAGAGACGAGGTCTTACCAAGTTGCCCAGGCTGGTCTTGAACCTCTGGGCTCAGGCAGTCCTCTTGCCTCAGCCTCCCAAAGTGCTGGGATTATAGGCTTGAGCCACTGTACCCAACCTTGTTGGAGTTTTTTATGTGGACAATTATGTCACCTGCAAATAGAAATTGTTTTATTCCTTTCAACTGTGTATGCATTTTATTTCCTTTTCTTCCCGTGTTAACTTGCAGTACTATGTTGAATAAGAATGATGAGAACAGGTATCTTTGCCTTGTTAAGATCTTAGGGGAAAAACATTCAACCTTTCACCATTAAGTACAATGCTAGCTATAGGGTTTTTGCTAATGTTCTCTGTCAAATTGAGGAAGTTCTCTGCTATTTCTGTTTTGTGAGTAGTTATCATGAATGAATGTTAAATGCTTTTTGTAAGTGCCAATTGACATCATGTGACATTTCTTCTTTAGTCTGCTAGTATGATAGATGATATTTATTGATTTTAAATGTTGAACCTTCTTTGCATCCTTAGAATAAGCCCCACTTGGTCATGATGTATAGTTATTTTTATATATTGCTAAAATCTACGTTTTATTAACGATTTTTGCTCATGTATTCATAAGAATATTGGTCTGTAGTTTTCTTTTTTTATACTGTCCCTGTTGGTTTTGGTATCAGGGAAGTATCAACTTCCTAATCTGAATTAGGAGGTGTTCCCTCCTCTTCTGCTTTCTGGAGAGATTGTGTTGAGTTGGTGTCAATTCTTTAAACTCCTAGTAGAAATCTCCAGTGTAATCATCGGGCCTGGAGATTTCTTTTGAGGAGTTTCACAGTTTTATCAAAGTTGTTACATTTACATGTGTAGAGTTGTGGGGAGGATTCTTTTGTTTCTCTGATGCTTGCATTGTCTATACTGACAGCCCATTTCATTCCTAATGTTGGTAATTTGTGCTCATTGTCCTTTTTTTTGGTCAGTCTTGATAGAGCTTTGTCAGTCTTTTGATCTTTTCAAAGAATCAGCTCTTTGACTGTCTCTGT